TGATTGATTGACTGATTGATTGACTGATTGATTGACTGGTTGATTGATTGACAATTATTACAAAATAATGTTGATGATTCTTGGTTTGAAAACCTCACAAGGGACATATGGTAACAAGGCAGTCTCGTGCTCAAGGCAAGCAACAAACAAAACCAACAAAACCAACAGCAGCCAGCATATCAGACATAGGACCAAGAGGTAGAAATGCCAAGCAATCCAAGCAGGGTAAAGCAAAAAGCAGACAAGAAAAGAAAGTACCTAGACCTATTTCAGTATCGAATGCTACTGTAGCAAAGACTGAGGAAAGCAAACCCTATGATGCTGGGGTCATTAGTAAAGCACATTTAGACAGTATCTTATTGCTGTTGAACACTGAAGGGGTTTCAAATGAAAAGAGAATTTCACCAGAGGGCCTTAAGTCTCAGTTGAGGACATCTCTTGGTAAGAATAAACCCACAGAACTCAAAGATGTAGGTGTCGAGCCTAATGACAGCAGTCTTCATGAAGAAAGGTAAATTGTTTGTTACAAAAAATGTATTAAAAAAAGGAAGGCAGAAAGCATAGCTATGTTTTGCTTCAGAGGCATCACAAGTTTGGGGATAAGTAGGAGAGTTATTGTAAAATGTTAATCTTGAATATGGGATTAGAAAGTCTTCTGAAGCGATCTATATGTTATACAGAATTAAAGTAGGATTTATCCCGGGGGGATGGGGTACTCCCCTATATTCACTATATGGGTACGTGCCGCCAAACAGGGTATGGTTTTCAGTGATTCTACTCTGGAACAGGGTATATAAAATCATGCTTGCTCTGGGACAGGGTATGTGAAATCGCGCTCTCTCCTCTCTGGAACAGGGTATCCATTTTCGCTATACCGGAACAGGGTATGATTTCAGCGATGTTGCTCTGGAACAGGGTATGAATTTCAGCGATTTTTCTCTGGAACAGGGTTAGGATTCAGAGGGCTCAGCAGCACATGATATCCCTACCCTAAACGGGCAAGAGTACCCCCAGGGGATTTATCCACTGCAGTTTGTAGCTTTTTTCTTTTAATAACAATTATTAACATGCATTATGGATACAGGAATAAATCAAGGAATGAATCAGTATCAAGTAAAATTGTGAAAAAAGACCAAGAAAATGAAAATCAGATGTACAATACTGTGCAGGTAATTAAAAGTAAAGGAATGGGCTTCCTCTGGGTTTTCTAGAAAAACATTGCTCCAACTTCAAAAACACTTGAATAATTCATAAGCATTTGTTTACAATATTGAAGTGACCATACATGTCACAAACAATGACTTTAATACCTTGAAAGAGAGGTTTGTACATTTGCACTGCCATGTGCACTAGATTTAGTACTTTACTGGTATTGTGCAGTATTTTGCATTTCCTATGTTTTAAGGTTTTTTTTTTCTGGGAATATGTTGTTTTACTACCAAAATCAATTTTCAAATTCCCAACTTGATTATATAATTGAACAAGGGCTACAGGTCTAATGTGTTTATTAGCTAACTACAACAATTATGCTATCATTCAATACAAGCGTGCTTGTCACTCTTTTTATTTAATTCAATCTCAATAATTTAATATCATTGTCAGTAACATACTGCCAGATATATAAATGACATGATATTTTGCAGGTTGATAAAGAAGATAAAAAATTGCAATGGAAAAGAGAATTAGGTATGTGAGGACTATTGGTACTTGATGTTGACAACCTTATTGAGTGCAAAATTCATTGATGAATTATATGACTTCTGCAATCACCTTATCACCTTACTTTCAGATGAACAAGTTTTATTAAAAAAGAAAACCAAGGAGGAAGAAAAACAAGAGGTAGTTAATACTAAAAAACTTTTTTCTGGTCAGATCATCTTAAAGATCATGTACATGTACTCTGTTTGTCTCTGACTGCTCTTGAAACCCTGGCTGCTTATGCCGTCTCTGCATGCGCATGTGATAACAAAACGAGTGGAAAAGTGAATAGTAAAAAAAGTTATTTACCACCCCAAAGTTGGTGTGGAAAGGGGAAAAACTGTGCCCTCAACCTAATAGGTTCTGTTGGTATATTTAAGACCTCTGGCACAGTTTTTCCTATCTGGACCTCCTGGCCAGTAAATAACCTCCATATATTTTGAGCTTGTTGTTGTCTCTTTATGCATTGCACTTTGTTAGCCCATATAATAATAAGAGAATAACTTAAACTTTTTGTTTTCAGAATAATAAAGACATTGAGGAGTATAACCCATGGGGCTGTCCTGGTGCAGGTGCACCAATCAGAAGTCAGTCTGGAAACGTTGTAGCTAACTTCAGACCTGATAGGGTATGTATTCAATCCAGATTATCTTTTATCAATTATAATTCTAAAACTCATTGATAATATATACAATATGAGTAGTATATCTGATACAACTCGGACACAAATATTGTATATTACTTATGAAACGTCTAGGTGTATACATTCATATTCTACTATAATTTTAAAGATAAAATTAAATTTGGCTAAGAAAATTGGAGTTAAAGTTTATGCAAATCAGGACGATTTTGTATCAAATATACAACCTCCTCCACGGACAATGATTTCTATTGAGTTTTCCTCATGAATTCATGGCTTTTATAAGCATATATTAATGGTGCTCTGCCAATTGGGTGTGTCCATCAATACCACATGAAGGTATCTATAAACCAGGTTATATAGCTTCATCAACCACTAAACTGGAAAAAATATAATTATAAAATTTTTGCTCACTTAATCAAAACCCTTATAATCCCATGATGTCAGAGTGTTGTACTGTGTCACATCAGAAAGCAAGTGTTTTATATGCATTCAACTTCAATGCATTCAGGGGTAGCTGAGGATAATTAAATTAGGATCACTTGATAAGAGCATGCACCCACTCACACTGGCCAAGTTTAGCAAAGTATTGGTATTGACACATTCTTCAAACAATTCTCTTCCATATGCAGGGTTGTGGTGCCTTTAGCCCCTCTAGTTTTCCCCAGAAAAGAAAACAAACTCACTCAAGCAAATAAAACAAAACAAAACGAAGGATAGCAATGTCTAAACATCATTTGACCTCTAATTTTTTCTGCTAACGTCACTAAATGTTGCAAGCTGCGAAAACTCGACAAAAAATTCTCGACAACTCGAAAAAAATATTTTGGATGATATCCCATAATTTCTGATACACTTTTGATGTACTTCTTGATGTATATATTGCAAAAGGGTCAAAGTTTTTGCATGATTTTTTTAATGCTTCCAATAGTTTGTAGTTATTTAGTGAGGTTTTTGCTTACATTCTTACGTAATATCTATATTTTTGTACGCATGCAAAGAAAATTGCCCTCATGAAGGGTAAATAGCATACCATTCCCCCAACTTCCAGGGAGCTGAACAAAGAAAGCACTAAATGAATATGATTATGACACTAGCTTTCTCGAAATGTATTTGCATTTGTTTGCATAGCCTGCGTGGCGGCTCTGGGGGAGGGGGATTGGAGACGAGGGCTGACGGGGAAGGGGGCCCCCTCCCCCAGAGCTGCCACACAGGCTATTGTTTGCAAATCTGTTTTCCATCTAACTTTCTTTTCTCTCTTTTTCTTTCTTGCCAGAAAAAGAATGAAATTCCCAATAATGAAAATATTACTGCGTCCAATGAAACCTTTGCAGCATCACTAGTCCCTTCATCCCATAATACTAAAAGTCAGTCAAGATCAAGCCCTGTCACTACAGTAGCCACTAGTACCAGTGATGTCAACACAACTTTGCCAGTTGCTATGAGGAGTTCTTTCGCTATAGGTGTAAGTCTAACGAGTTGTCAAAGTTTCAGAATATTCAAAAGTTGAAAACTTTTATTAGCAATCCTAAATTCCAGTATGCTGGTCCATATATGAAAGCAGCCATCTTGAAATGCAGAAACGTAAACCCCAGGAATATAAAGAGCACCAATCATATTGTTAAATTAAAGTAGGCATTTAGTTTCAGTTTATACAGTCAAGTCCTTAAACCCATGAAATAGATATTAGACTTATACACTTTAGTAGACCCTAATTCCATTGTTTTAAAGTTTTAACAGTTTCGTATTTAACATAATTTACTTTTTATCTTTAATGAATCCCTTAGGCACCTGGTTTAGTTGCACATGATACTCAAACTAAGAGGCTCAAGGAAATACAGTGGAAGCAAGAACTACGTATGTATTTTATCTATCCTTTATAATAGTAATGACATGTAGATGTAGCAAAGAAGGAAACAATTAAAACCTAGTTGATACAAAGCTTTGTCTGCCAATCGTAAGAAAAGTCAAAGTTAAAGATGATCAAAGTTGTATGCAAAACAAATTGAAAGAAGAGGCACCATCAAAGATTTTAAAAATCATTTCAATGTAACAAGAAGACTAGTATCGTCTATGATTATTTAATTAAATTGTTATTTCTGTTTAGAAATGCAAATCGAGGGGAAAAAAGAAAGAGAAAGACAGAGAAAACTCAAGGAGGCTCAAGAGGTAGGTGATGTTATGTTTAAAGCTAAAACTATTCAAAAATTATAAAAGATACAGCTCATAAGCCCCTAATTCCCACTTGGAAGTTCTATTATAAGCCATATTTTGTTTCCAATCGGTCTTGGTACCTTGGTAATTATCTCATTCTTAAAGTCGGGGCGGCTTTCAATATCAGCATGTAAGAACGGGGCTGACCACAGGTAGCACAAGCTAGGTTTCTTGGGTGTCGTGTTTATAATGATGATGATGATGATGATGATGATGATGATGATGATAATGGAACTTATATAGCGCACATATCAAAATTTATGGCGCTTCACAATAAGAAATAAAATAAAATAAATATCAGACATATGTTACAATATTTATGAAATGTCATAGTTCATTGATGTTCACTTTCAACCAGAGGAGACAAAGTTATAAGACAATGTATTGCGACACTTAAAAAGCTCATTGAAATCATCAAAAGGTGAAATAGAGATGTACTTACTTTTGAATTTAATCAACTTTAACGTTTTTTGCCTCCACTCGTGTCCTTTCTTAACAGAGCTTAATCTATCTTTAGAAAGCATTCAAAAAGAGCAATGCACACCATTTATGGTTACGATTTGTGCTATGAACAATCTCTTTCTCTCGTTAGCATAATAATTATAAGTTTAAAACAGCGTAGATCTGAACTCTGTGCCTCCTTTTCCAAGAAAATCGTTTCTGATCCGTAGTTCATAAAATCTTTTGGCTTTTAGGCGAAAACTATCACCATGACCATGGCCAACAAGGAAAATGGCTAAAATGGCTAAAATGGCTAAAATGGCTAAAATGGCTAAAATGGCTAAAATGGCATTTATGAAACTATTTTTTAATCGATTTTTCTTATAGACTGGAAGACAAAAAGACCTTTTTCGCCGTTGTTATTGCTATTGTTATTGAGTAATTTCGTCTTTTAACTTTATCTTAGGATTTCCTGAACTTATCATGGAATGCCAAAAACCAGAAACAACAAAATCTAAAAATTGTCTCACCACCTCAGCGAACCACAGATATGAGCAGCCAAGTTAGTGATCAATGTGAAAAGAAACCTTGGGAGGATATTCAACCACAGGCTACCCAAGAAACTACCCAAGAAAGCTCAATGCCTCTCAATGCCTTGTCGAATAGTAGCCTAAAGTAAGCTAACTGAAAAAGCCTTTCTGATGAAGTTCCAGAAATGATAGCAATTTGAGATTCATCAATCAATGAAAAATACTTTCTTGTTATTGATAATCTATTGCAGGACACATGCTCGCGGGTTTGGAATGCAGTTAATGGATCCTCAGGCCAAAGAAGAAGCTGAAAAGAAGAGACTAAAGATGCTCGAACACCAGGTAGTAATCATATTTTTCGTCATAGATATGATGCATGATTTTATAGCACGAGGAGTGCTCCATTTAATGATGAAATTGGCGGTCATAATGCGGATGAGAACAATGATAATCATAAAATAACTGTTGTGAATTTCGAATCCTTCTCGTTGTTAGCGCGTGCTTTATGAGAGCATACAGCACGTGCGCCCGCTATCTGGGTGTTGAGTCAATGATTTGTATCCAAAATAACCATTATATTTTTAGTGAACGGTTTCCGGAAAATCATAAAAATTACCAAAATTCTAGGGTTCCATCCATATCCATTCCAGATGGTCTGTCTGTCAGTCAGTCATTCAGTCAGTCAGTCTGTCAGTCTGTCAGTCTGTCAGTCTGTCAGTCAGTCAGTCATTCAGTCTGTCAGTCAGTCAGTCAGTCACTTTGTCGGTCTGTCGGTCAGTCAGTCAGTCTGTCAGTCAGTCAGTCAGTCACACAATCACTCTAAAAATGAATGATAAGTGATAAAGATGATGGCATTCATCGAAAGAAACTAACATCTCATGATACCTGAATTCTCTAGCATGCTATTCAAGAACAAGTCGAGGAGAAACGTCGCATAAAACAGCGGGAAAGAGAGCAGCGTTTGAAGGACGAAGCCATCGAGGAGTCACGTTTTGCTGAAGAAAGGGAAAAACTTAACTTAGCTTTCATCATGGAACGAAAGCAGAAAAGACAAAAAGAGGTATATACATATCAATCATTCATTGTGATCACGTCACATACGACACTGGTAAGCGGGAAAACTCAGTAATAGTTTTTGAAGAATCAGGTTTGTGTGTTTTAACAACTGTTGCTGCGGTATCTTTATTACCCTTTAGAACAAGCTCTTATCTTACTGCCTATTTAGTTTCCCAATTACTTTTTCTTAGGAAGAGGCCAAACGTATCAGTGAAGCCCTACAACAAAGTGTCTTGGATGCATACCAAGCATCACAACAGGTAAGTTAGATCCATTAGATGTTCGATTTAGCTTGGCTCTGAGTCTTCCCATCTTACTTTGAGGGAATAATTCCTTTTTTCCCCCAATTTCTTTGCTCGTAGGCAAAAGCTGACAAGCGGAGAAAACATTTCGGTGCTACTGGACAAGAGAGTAAGTTATGACGGGCTTTTGACTTTCATTGTTCCATGCTGCACATTTAATGGAACCTTAACTTGTCTGACCTGGATGTTGTCTCAATGAAGGCTATTTAGGAATGACCCTTTTGAGATATAGTCCATTCGGTAAATATCGCCCACCGTATATTGGTAAATCATTAAAATGAGTCATCGAAACTGAAATACTGGTTTCTTTTTTGGACCAGGGTTTCTTGTTAAGTAACAATGCTCACAGGTAATTCGATATGGGAAACTTCCAAACAGTTTAATTTTGCTGGCGCACACAACAGCCATAGTGAAGAAGTCTCATCAGTATAGCCAGGTCAATAAATTAGTCATACTATTTTTCCTTACAGCTGGTGCAACTATGTCTAGATCTTATGTAGTGTCCCAGGCCACTTCAGAAGACAAACACATTGCCTCAGACAGCATGCCTGGTATTCCTGGTAATAACAGCACTTCACCTCAAATCACAGGAAGAGAAACCCCAAGGACAAATAGGTCCATAGGTCGAACTTCACATTTAACTGGCAGGAATTCTCCACCAGTTCCGACTTTGAGAAATAARATGATTGAAAAATCTGAATTCACGTCTCCCAAATCTTGCAGCACGGTACCTCCAGCATCTACAAAGACCAGTCTTCATCGAACTGTCAGCTCACACTCTGAACCTTGTGATGGTTCATTAGCTTTGTCTTCTAGTTGGAGAGGTACTAAGGGAAGTGATGCCGGAGGTTTTGCGACACACTGTGATAAACCTCTGTCTGACTCTAGAGGTCTGAAGGATGATGGAATGTTTAACCGCCCCTTTTCTACATTGGAGGATGCGTTTACGATTCCATATCACCGTACAGATAGCGCAACACTTCCTGCGCCACCAGAAAGACCTGAACCTAATACTTTTCAAGGGGCGACGAATGTTTCTCCAAGAGCAAAGAAAAAGAAGGAATTAAACAATCAAAGGTACCCTAAGAATGCTCCGCAAAATATTGGGGAAACTATTACACCAGTATACAGGACAGTGTCTTCTCACTTAGAACATGAACGAGCAGAACCTGAAGTCTCTCCACTGAGAGCCAAGGAAAACAAAAGCATTCGACCTAGACCTCAAGCACAGTCTACTAAGTCAACACCTTCTCACAGGAGTGGCAGTAAGCCACTCAGAATGGAAAATGATAAAAAGCTCTTGAAACAATCTACCAACACTCAACAAAGACAGGGTAAAAAGTTGGAGAAAAAGACTTTGAAGGATCATTCCGCGCTAAGAAATGATGTCTCTTCTATGTCATCGGCTCAGCAAGTAAGTTCCAAATGAGTCATGGGTAAATTGCTCTTGTTCTTTGACATCAATTAATTCTTTACACATTTTCAAGCTGATAGATGCATGCACCCGGTTTTCACAAAAGTCTTAAACCGACTATTACTGTACTGTACGCTGTACGCGCTTTGCAAAAATTCTGTAAATATAATGAATATTGATATATCGATATATCGGCCTAGTGCAATATGGGTCATATTCAATTTAAAAAACGTTTTAATAAAGGTTAAATACAATGTTTTCGGTGAAATATAATCATAGTGTACATTGTGAGCATTAATACTAGATATTTGGCTGCGTTTGGTTGAAAATCGTCATATTAATATATTAAAAAATCTGGAAATATGCAAATTAGTTCATATATGGATATATAGATATACTTGACTTTTGCAGAGTTTTTGCAAATCGCTATGAGAAACAAGAGAAACTTTTATATGAGAAACGAGAAAATATTTGTCTTTGAAAGTTTGTAAAAGGGAGAGTGAAATATAGCAAAACAATGAAAACGTGGTCATGTTGCAATTCGCGTGAGGAAAATTTGAAATCCCAAAATTTGAAAAAAGCTGTTTTCAAAACATACTCACAATTTTGGTAATTTAACAAACACAGCTGGCTCAAAACTTATTGACCATCCCTAAAACTCATTCAAAACTCACTCCAACCCTTCCCTGGACCTAAAATATCATGCTCCCCTCCCTCCTCCCTTCCCCACCCCCCACCCCTCAAAAATGGTGCCTTTCCTGTTACATAATGAGGTCCCTAATTATTTTAAAAAATCTATTAAAACATTCCCTTTATTTAGGAGTACTCCTTAACTTGAAGGATGTCGAATTTTTTCTTTGGTTGAATTTGCAGGTTGCGCCTGAACCTTCACCTACAGCACGACAAGAAATGATTCTACAGCAACTAGCTGCTTTGAGACAGGTTAGTTAGGCCATGGCTAAACGAGGAAACATGTCACTCCAGAAACACGTTTACCGCGCGCATGTTTCCTCGATGTTTCCCAGTTTAGCCACATGCAAAACATTGCTGCGTGCAACAAATTTTGCTTCCAAGACGCAAAAAATGTTTTTGCTGTGCGGCAGAAACATTTCATGTTTCCAAAGACGCATGGACAAATTGTTTCCCGATGTTTCCTGACAGTTTTGCCATCTTAGGAAACATTTAGGGAAACATGTTTCCTCGTTTAGCCAGGGCCTTATACTAGTTTTCCTGTTGCACCCAGCTGCTATAATGTTTGTCTGTCCATCCATGTATAAATGTAATCTGACGAAGAAATCCTGATGAGTGCAGACAATAGCAGGTAGTTTTATATTTTCAAGTACTGTATTAATATTTCTCTCGTCTTTTACTTTTCATAGGGGTTGATCATAAAAGAAAGAGAATTAAAGCATGACGATACAATACACCATTTTAATATGTAGCATTGCTGTAATCATCAAAATATAAAGAGGAATTGTTACATATTAAAATTGTTTTATACAGTTGACACAGGCTGTAGGAAAGAAAATAGAAATTGTATTTATTGAAACAGTCTACGTATGACAACTAAATGTCAATAAAGTGAATTCAGTCATTAGACCCGTGATATAGATACTAAACTAATACACATTGGTAGGGTAGGCCCAATTTCCATTGTATCGCTTTTGTTTCTAGTATTTGACTATTACACCTTGACGGACATTTTTTATTTATTTCACGGGTTAATGCTTTCACTCTAATAAACAGTATATCAAATTATATATCTAACGAATTAGAACTTATCGAGTAAAAATGATAGTAAAAGGTTTTTTTTTCAAATCTTAATTTTGTCTTGATAAGCAAGATGTTTGCTATATATATTATTATATATTATTATTTCTTCAAACTTCCCAAAACTATTAGAACAGGTCCCACGAGTGCAAATACATAAGAAACCTATTAGCATATCTGTTCACTTCCCTTCCAACCTGCTAGCGGACCGTTCCTTCCGTTTCCTTCAGGGCTCCCATTGATAGCAGAGCTTTTTATTAGTTCTGAAGGGACCACCCTGGCTTTAATTATTTCTAAAAAAAGATTTCATTCATTCATTCATTCATTCATTCATTCATTCATTCATTCACTCATTCACTAGGACGAGCGCGTGAAATGCAACGTCAAGAGATGCCATACTTGAGAATGAATCCTTATCCCACTAACCACTTCTTTAGCCCTTGGTACTGGGAGCCAAGCGGTACACTAATATATCTCAATATTATATTTAAATCTTGTTAGCATGTCTTTTATTTTTTTGAGTTTTTGGGAGGAAGTCTCCTTATTTTGTTTATAGCTTTGTCCATGTTGTTTGACACTAGCCTTCCGTCAAGTAGCAGTTTATCAAATCTCACTCTCACTTCGTATGGTCACGCACCAGTGAGGGATTTGTCCAAAGGTTTCGGTATGAGGCTACTGGCTTTGTGCCTGACAATCGAAGCATATCTCAGAAGTGGGCTATTTTAACTTTAAGGTTTCAGTAGGTGTTAAATTATGGTGTAATACCCCTATACTCATAGGGGTACACCCTCTTTCTTAACAAGAGAGGTACCAGGGTTCGTGCTACGTTCTCGTTACAAAATTCAAGGACTTTTTAAGCACTTTTCAAGCACAAAAATTCGATTTTCAAGGACAACGTTTTTTGTATTAGAACGTGGTTTTAAACATTGTTTCAATGTTAAAGTGCAGCTAATTCAGCCGGGGCTACTAGCTTAGATAAAAAACGAGCATGACACGCAACCAACCAGTAAACAAGCAACCAGAAACTCTTCAATCATTTTAATCGTTATTTGTTTTAAAAGGAAAGTTAGAAATAACATTAAGTTTGCACTAAATTCAAGGAGTATTCCAGGAGTTTTGCCGTTTTCCCCTGTTTTCAAGGGCTTTTCAGTCAAGCGCCCTTGAAAACGTGTTTTCAATTCAAGGACTTTTCAAGGATTTCAAGGAATAGCACGAACCCTGGGTACTTTGTCACTCTCTCTMTATATTTTTTAGTGTCTTCAATTTATCATCCCCCTCCTTGCATAAATTATTTACTAACTTCTCTAAAGAAATTCTTCAAAAACTGCAGGGAGTCGATAAACGTTAAATTCCCCAACAAAAAAGGAATGTACTTTTCTGTGTTGTTGTTGGGGGTGCATGAAATCATTTTAACCTTGGGCTTCCCAAGACCTTGCATAATTAAATGACTGTCGTACCCACGAAAATTATGAAGAACCGCGGGAATCTTTTCTGTAAACTTGTAATTCAAGGAACAGTCCTTGTGTGCCGCCCCCCTATACAGCCTGTCAAATGATCTTGATCACTTACCCTGTCAGCCCCTACGTCAAATTTGCAAATGTGACATTGGGCTGCTGCTCGAATTGGCGCTCCTGTTCTTCAGTACACCTTTTGCTGTTCATTAACGCGAAAAGGATATTTATTTTCGCCAATTGTAGAATCAATAAGGCGAATATTCATTCTATAACACCAAGAATAACTTCATTAACGCGACGGAACATTCAAGAGCGCAGTTGGCATGTGTATTAATTTCAATAGCATCAACGAACAAACAGTATCATTCGACAATCAAGGACGACAAGTGGACGCTTAAACACGCGCAATTGACAATCATCGACACCAAACGAAAATCAATAACATCATCTGGCAATCATCAGTTAAAATGAGAAATTCGATGAGTCGATTAGCATAGAGAGGCCCAATCAATTGCGTCAAAATACAATTATTCATTGCGTAGTAACATTCAATCCCGCGAATCAATAAACATTTGCGTAATAATGACACTCAATAAAGGAAAACAAAATTTCAAAATTTGTTTTATTAGGTTAAGGCTATTATCCTTCGATTGCTTCGTGATTAATGGTATTATCTTGGTAATATAAATAGATATAGTACCTCAGACAACCCCTTACCCTACCGGCACGGAGGGGGTAAGGAGGAGAGCTCACAGTCGTGGTGGTGTAATCCACCCATCTAAAAATAGATACCAACATGCGTAATAGGTAAATTACGAGCCTAAGATGAAACGACTGAAGTAGAGTGCCATACAAGCCTTTCACAACTTCAAGTCGCGTAAAAAATGAGCCAGCTCAACTGTAAAGCCGTGGACAGCTGTTTCGGCCTGTATTGGGCCTCGTCAGCACAGTGTATCTAGTGAGCTGGCAATCCCACGAAAAAGTAGTACTAGATAGATGAGGCAGTAAGCAGCGTGGGATGGGCTCGGCTTACTGCCTCATCTACTAAAGATGGATACGACTCAGACCACCCCCTCCCTCTACTGGTCGAGAGGGGGTTTGGGGGAGAGCACCGGCCCGCACCGGATGCAGAACCCCCATTAAATATGCGGGTCAAAAGTAAGCTGGTTTTTATATACTAACTTCATTCAGGGACAACACTAATTTTTATGGTAGACATGGACCACAAAAACATCCAAATAAAGTCAATTTTGTCTTTAGAGGATACAATTTATCGTAGCCACTGTCCACAAAAGCATCAAGGAAGGCTAAAAAATAGATTTGCTTTTACCATAAGATGTCCCTCAATCGTTCGTGAGATAAGTAATAAATAAATAAAACATCAGATAAAAAAGTTTGAAATGATTTAGATTACATGTCTTTCTTGCTTGAACAGATAACTAAACTGTCTATGACAGAAACATTGATTGAACATAGTTGATACCCGCTGAAGCACTTCAGAGATCCCATTGGAGTAAAGTGCATGATTAGTGTCGCTACTCGCTTGGTGGCTGGCAGCAAAAATACCTGTTTTGAATCTTGCGATTTGATTGGACAGCAAACAGCACCGCGCGCGTTTTCTATTTCTTCAATGGCCAACAAATATTACAAACACTTATCATCAATGTCTGTTACAACGTTAACTATAGCTATTTAAAATTATTTTTACGCTCTCTTAGAGCCTTGAGCACTGAGGCGTGAAGGTTTTCATTTTGTTCTGGAGGTAATACGTCAAGACCAACAGCACTTATCACATCAGTTATATGAGTTCTAAGAAATGGATTATACGACTTCTCTTCTCCAATGGTTGAAGGACACTAACACAAAACAAATGATGACTAATGTTATACAGTGCATGCTTTGTATCGATGAAATAAAACAAAACCAAAAAAAAAAAAAAGGAAAAATCCTATTTCGAGGTCGCCTTTGCTCAGTCTTAGCCTCGATTGTGTACAAATGCGTTCTTTTCTTTTATCATATGACCCGTATCTGCCCGAGCGCGCGCTCTTAAAAAAACCATCGGGAAAATGGCGTGAGCAGAGCCGTACGGCTTTGAACGAGCAGGGCCCTGCTCGAAACCTGCGACCGTATTGATATAATTTGCAACTTTTAAAAAATCTTTTTAATTTAGGGTCATATGATAAAATGCTTATTGACTGAGTTAGATCGGGCTGTACGGCATTACCTCGAGCCAAATGTTTTCCCGTACGGCCCTCCCACTCAGTCAACAAGTACATATTATTAAGGTACATTGTATAGTAAGGAATGTACGCACTACGGAACAATGCGAGTCGATTAAAATACCACGGGTTTTGGTTGAAAGGCTAGGCTATCGATAGGCTGACAGCCTAAGCCTCCTCGGCTCAGTCGTATTGTTTTCCCATTTCAGACCACGTATAATTCCCTTGAGAATATATATTATTTTGTTTCAATTGTTTTCTCATGCGCAACTGTTAAACAAAGAAATGACACTCTAAGGAACAACACGAAATAGGAAAACATTACGCCTAAGGAGAGGAGGTCTATAACCTGACAGTCTGATAGCAGGATAGCTCAGTACTCAGGACTCCACTTAGTCATATGACATGCAATTACTGATTGTAAGCATTTTAATAAATGTCCCTGAAATTAACCATAGATTGCAGATATTCTTAAATACTAGACTTGAATACTCACAGTGTTACATTTGTTGGTTCTCAAAGCAAGTACTGAATCCAACTTGGAACGAATAAAAGGATTGTTTGGCTCAATAGTTAGTGCAAACATAAGATTCTTGGCAGCATACTCATGTCCTATAGTTGTTTCAAAGATAACACAAAAATTAACTCAATAAATCTCAATAATTAAATCTTAAAATTTTTAATTAATATTGATATCTTTAAGTCATTTCTTAAATAAAACTTTATCCCAAGTGAAAACCAACCCCAAAGTTAAAAGCATATTCTAATCATAAATCGCGATTGATAGGATATGAGAGATGAGGCGGTAAACCGTGTGGGATGGGCTTGGACATCATATAAGAACATGCGTAATAGGTAACTTACGAGCCTTGTATGCATGAAACGACTGAAGAAAAGGGCTAATGGGACCTTTCACAACTTCAATTGCTGTAAAAAATGAGCCAGCTCAACTACAAACCAGTCTTGTATGAAACGACTGAAGAAGAGAAACCGTGGACAGCATGTTCTTACCTACTACGCATGTTCTTATATGATTTCCGAGCCCATCCCACACGGCTTACCGCCTCATCTCTCATGTACTACTTTTTCTTGAGATTATACCTGCTCACTAAAAACAACGTGCTGACGAGGTCCAATACAGGCCGAAACAGCTGTCCACGGTTTCTAGATGAGCTGGCTCATTTTTTACGCAACTTGAAGTTGTGAAAGGTCCATTGGCCCTATTCAGTCGTTTCATGAAAGGCTCGTAATTTACCTATTACGCATGTTCTCATATGATTTCCGAGCCCATCCAACACGGCTTACCTCCTCATCTCTAAGTGGTTAATACTTAGGTTATGGTACAGTACTATTGATTACCTGGCCATAATAGTGTATTATCTTTCAATACACTTATCATCTGCAGTGAATGTAACATCTCAGATGGCTGGCCTTCAAATATTTGACCTGCCCATTAAAGGATTAGTAGGGTTAATATTGTAATATATTAATAAACAGAACATTACATGGCCGCTTGGAGATACGAATTTTATCTTCTCGTGTTCAATTTAGATATCTCACTCGTTCGCTGCCCTCACTCGTGGGATATCAATTAAACACTCGAAGATAAAATTCGTATCTCCGCGCGCACATGTAATATCCTCTATTTATTACACCTTAGTTATTACACTTTGTTTCACGGGTTTTTGAAAACCACTCTCTATATATAGAATATAGTATATATAGCATCATGATTGTAATATGAGTTTCCAGTTGTGCAAAATTGTCCATTAGTCAATGCTTTAAAGTACGCTCACCCCGAACTCAATATTTTCAGTATTGATTCTTAATTTATTGAATAGTTAAATAGTAAAATATTTTTAATTGATTTGAATTGAGGTAATATTTTCTGGGGCAATACATCATCCTGTATAAAACATCACTGTGATTACTCTGGGCTTATAGAAAGGTTATTGCAAATTTGTTTTCTCATTGTAATCAGTGCTACAATTTACAAATGATGACCAATAAACTCAAATGCCTCCTATGACATCACCTCATTAACATACATATTGGAAGTATAAACCTTACCTCCAAGATTCATCACTCAAATAATATAAAAGCATTTTTTTATTCAACTTTTCACTTCATGTGCAATCAATGCTGAAAATATTGAGTTAGGGGTCAGGGGCATTGTAATTACCACAGCCACTTAGAAATAACAGATCTCCTGAAAACAATGAATCTGGTACATCAAATGGTGCGCCATCAAGAAGATATACAGTATGACCTGAAAATATGTACATACACACATCAAAATACATATTTAGTAAGTTGATTATAATACAATCAACAAAATTACTTGATTCGGATTGCACAAGAGGAGTACATTGTTCTCTGTAGAGTCCCAAAGAAGTTGCTCAATTTTGTAGAATATATTCAACAACATTCATCTAATTGAACCAAGTATTTTGGCCAATAGCATATTATGGCATGTACAATAGTTCTCACATTGTTCTACGAGACTAAATTCAAGTCAGTATAAGAACAAACTTGGCCAGGTAGCTTATAATAAATTATTTTGTATATCTACCTAATGTATGCCCTGGTGTAAATATTGCCGTGAATTTAATTGAGCCAGTCTGAATAAAAAATAAAATAATTAGGATAAAGAAACAGGAGAAGGTAGAGCTATGTAAAGAAAGCTATGTTAATGTCTAAAACATAGAGGATTACCTATTACATGACCACGCGGATATACAGATTTTACCTTCGATTGTTGAGGTGATATGTTACGAGTGAACACAGCAAATGAGTAAGATATTCTCCACACGAGAAGTTAAATCCGTATCTCAAAGTGGCTATGTAATATTTTGTTTAATATATAATTATCAATGAAAAACAAATTTTGGTGGATGCTTACTATTCAAGAGTAATAGTTCGTAAGCAAATTTATTTAAAAACATTCTCGTACCCAAAGCCTTTTCAGCTTTCTTTTTTTTTTTTTTTGGTGAAAAACTTCTGGGTATGAGAATAATTTAAAAACAGATGTCGAGGCTCTCTCGAGGATTTTGCTCAAACTTGGTTTGGGGTCGTAAATATGAAATGGATTATTTTTTGTTCCCAAAAACTTTTTTACACATAAACCATCGACGTTTTGATGGCTTGACCACTATGTCACTTCCGTTTGTACATACGTGTACACAACACAGGAATCCCGCTTGATTTCAAAGCAAAACTACACGGAAATGCACAGAAAACATCGCTTTAGGACAAATCGTAGACCAACCCTCTTGAACAACAGATAAAAAAAACTTTTATGTAGTCAAAGATGGATAAAGAAGTATTCTTCAAGAATTCAGGAGTTTTTTTTAGCAAACAATCGCATATTTTCTATGACAAGCAGTTTAATTTCTTTCGACGAATCGCCGCAAATCAAAGTCTTTCTCTATAAATAAGCTTTATTTATTTTAACACGAACGTTCGCCATTTATTTAGCTTCACAAATCTTCAAGAATCGGTTGTTTCTAATCAACTATCGCATGTTTTTCGTTTAAGATAAAGCAGCTTCGTTCGCATTGTTTTTTTTATTTTTTCTCAGTTGTTCTTGTCAAGTTTAACTGAATGTAAACTTTTCTTTTCGAAAACTTTTGTCGTTCGTGATTTCCGTATCTTTCTCACACATGAAAACAGATGAAAACTGTTAAAATKAAATCTCAAAATCTAGTTATCTTAAGTTTTCAAGCTTCTTGAAAAATAGTTAAAGGCTTTTATGAAAGAAATGAAAATATTTTGGATAAGAAAATTATTTTTTTAACTGATGCATTTGGCTTGACGTTCAGGGCCTTCATTTGACTAGTTTAGTTAGGGATGGACCATAAGATTTTTGAGGGGGGGGGGGGGTGCTAATTTATATTTTGCAGGAAATTTTTTTACCCCTCATGGCTGATATGATTTGTTTGCACGATATTTTTTGAGTTAGCTTTTATACATTTTTTTTTGGCAATGAAAGCCTCTTTTTTGACAAAAAAATAGAAGGAAATATCTCAGAATTATACGACAAGTAAGGGTTCAAAGTGTTCTTAAATTATACAGTATTTTCTTAGGGGAACGTAAGGCGTCAAATATATTGTTCTTATTGTTTATGGTTCTTTACCTCACGAAGGGTCTCTATATAGAATTTTTACTATATCAAAGATACTCAAAGATACAAGTGAATATAAAAGAGAATTGCATGAGATCATATAAAGATTCTTGCATGACTTTTTTTCGTGGTACTTTTCTTTTGCACGATTTTTTTCTTCACTCTTTAAAGCTGTTATCTTTTGTTTTTCATGTAAAATTAACCAGGAATTCAGTCAAAGCGTAAAAATGTCGGCCATGCAAAACTTCGGGGAAGAAGTTTTCAAGAACAAAACTAGCTAACCCTGGGATAGCTGGTGGTGGGTCGTGTGCATGTAAGAAAAGAAAAAAGTGGGAGAGTACTAAGGACAAAAACAAAGATTCGTGCGAAGAAAACGGTGTAGTGCATTTCGATTTCATTTTTTCACTTCATGGTTTTCATTATTGGGGACATATTTGGAAGGTCAACTAAGGCCCCGTCCACACTATGCCGGATAAATTTGAATCCGAAACCTTCACACCGAAACCGAAAAAAAAGTTTTCCGTCCAAGCATGAAAACGGAGAAAATGTTTCGTGTGCACACCAGTCAGATCAGAGGCGGCAAAAACGCTCCAGAATTTTTAGCCTTTTCGCCACGTTCCCATGACAATCATGACGTCATCGCATTCGAAAAGTTCCGGATACGAATGTATCCGTCCATACTCCTATAGCCTGCAAGCAGCCGGACTTCGGACTTTTCTCCCGTATAGTCTTTAACAGTTATTTAGTTCGGCTGCACGCAGGCTACAGGGACACGTCGGCTAGAGGCATCCAAATCTAACTTACTCCTTTGACGTCACAGCCCGGTTCCCTAGGTTATCATTTCACGCGACCAGAGGTCAAAGAAATGCCAATTTTTGCATGTTTGACCGCTCGAAAAAAATAGAAAGAGTCGTGAGAATCAAAAATACTTTCACCACGTTTCTTAGAATGGCTTATATTTTGATAAAGAATAAATAAAAAGATAAAGGTCGTAGGCACTTATGATTATGATATTCATATAGTGCTCTTTTCCATATGGATACGTTAAAAGGCGCTTTACAATGATTTATGAATGAGAGATGGTTAGTATGAAGTGTAGGCACTGAGGGTGGTCACTGCCAGGGCTTCTTTACGTCCTCAATGGTTCTTTTAAGAATTTCCGCACTATTTCCAAAACATTATACACTTTTACGCGCCCTTTTCCGCTCTATTTTCGTCCCCCCCTCCCCACTGTATCATATGTTAACCAATGTTATATATATTGGGTTCATTCAAATATTGAGCACGAGACCTAAGGCACACATTAATAACCAGCAATAGATGGCTTACCCTGATAACATCATTGTCTTCAACTGGACTGAAAGAAAAGAAGTTTTGATCAATCAATCCCTTAATTGGATGTTTTTTCATGATGTTTAATATTAATGATCAAATCCTGTTTGATAGAACCTTGACAGCAGGTATAAGCCCAGTTGTCAAAGGGTGGATAGCTCTATACGACGGATAAATCTTATCCCGTAGATAAATATATTTTGCATCCACTTATCCAATGGATAAGGATTGATCCGTTGGATAGTGCTACCCAAAGTACATACGACCGAGTCCAGGAATGAACCAGAAAGGAGGCATCTAGAAATTAAAGGGAGGAAAAGAAAAGAGAAAAGAATGGAAGTGTAAGAACTTTATAAACTCACTGTGTAAGTGATGGAATGTTATCAATAGGACTTCCATAAATGGCTATTCCAGGAAAATGAGCCTGCAGAGCACGGTTACCACCACTATGATCCCTGTAAGTTTGCACAAACAAATGTTTCATTTTTATAATTACCGCTACAATAAGTTGGTAGGAATTAATCAAAAGAAAGGGATTCGCTGAAGGTGCTTAAATCATACTTACTAGTGCTTTTACAAATGTCTTTTAATTTGGAAGTTACGATTGAATTTATTTAATGAGGGTGGACATAGATTGCTGTTAACCCACTAGTAAAATTCATTTGTGGACAAAAGATATTCAAAAAATACCAGTGCTTATGTGTTGTTAATATGGCCTCCAATTTTACATTCTCTCTGGCAACCACCTCCTAATGAAGAAAAACAAATATTACTATAAAGCATATCATACCACTATGCTACATTTAACATTTTATTCATACAGTCATATTTTATATACTTATATTAGACTTTTACGTACCTTTATTGTATCAGGATCTGATGGATCAACAAGGACTGCCTGCTTGTTGCCCAAAGAAATAATAAGATAGCTGTAGTTATCATAGCAGATAGCTATAGGGATAATCTTGATCCCTACAAATATGAAAAAAAAATATTAGTGGCTATGGAATAAAGCTGTAAGTGATTTTTTAATTAGACCATTCATCTTTTAATTGAGAGGGGCATGGGATTGGGTCATTAAAAGGTTAGGCTTAAGAGCACACCATCTTTAACTTACTTTAGACTTAGCCACCTAGCCTGAGAAATATAAGAAGAAAAGGTGTTCCCATTAAGTACCCTGTCATGCACACTATAAAATCTATTCAGTGGTGTTCCCATTAAGTACCCTGTCATGCACACTATAAAATCGACTCAGTGGTGTTCCCATTACTTTCCCCTACATCAACCAAATAATGCTGTTATAAAAAACCCACCATTACATGTCCAGGCTGTCACATTAGAATGAGGCTGGTCGTGACTGGATTTGTATTGGTTGAGCTGATGTAAATGGAAGAGATATCCTAGTGGAGTCTTGGTGTACAATGTATACCTAAACCAACAAAAAAAAGACCAAAGTAAATAACGGAGCATTCATATCTTAAAGGAGGGAGTACTGGAGGAATTGATGGGAGTGCATCAAGGTTTTTTTACTTGGTCAAAAAGGGAGGGCCATTAGTATTAATATTTTATCAAACCCAAACTTTTGTTACTGAAGACAAGACAGAAAATTATTTTATTAAAATTTCCTATGATATTCCATGTGAATTCCTCCATCCCTACCCCCTTCTAAAAAATGAACACTCCCTAAGTTATTAAACATCGAAGAATCAAGGATTTCCAAAGCATGAGAAGAGATCACTTCTCTAACCACCAGAGTGAAGCTGGTGTCAGATTTTTGAGTCAGGTTTTTGGATCTGGTGCAAGATTTTTTTCCAGGGAAAGTCTAACATTAGTTGATCTACAAAATGCTGTATTCGTAGCAATGTTGGAATCGAAATGAAATCTATGCTATGCTTTATGTACAAGACAGTTGTTGAAAATTAAGGGTTTTGGGGATTGAAATACTTGACATGTTAAAGGAAATAAACAGAAGCTTCAGATTTTTGGAGCTGTGTTATCTGTCTGGCCTCTTGTTGATGATAAAAAATAACCAATCAGCACGCAAAAAATTTGTAAGTTATTGTAAAAATAAATATTGAATAATATCCAACACTGTGCTTCTATGATAAAATATCTGATAAATATCCGATTATAGGCAATTGATAAATATCAAATAAATATCGAATGATATCCAACACTGTGCTTCTATAATAAACCCGGAGTAGTCAATCGATAAAAATCGATATCGATTTTGCCGATCGATAAATCGATAACAATCGATACCGCTGATTTGATTGATATCGATTGTATCTATCAATCGTTAAAAATCGAACTCACACTAAATTTTTTTATCGATTTTTATCGATTGATTGATTATATACATATCGATTTTTTTTTATTTATGTTCTTGAACAATTTCTATCGATGAGGGTCGTGTGGCTATAGATTTATACCACCGGCAATTACTCTTTTGTAACCATAGCTTGACACAAACTAGGAGTTTGTTATAGTGATCAGTGAACAGATAGCAAAAGTACTTGGATAATTAGCTGCCTGAATTACATATAATTACTTGTGAATTAATAGTTATAAAATCTATTGCACTATCATCGATATTTTCGAATACTTTCCGTGAAATAAAGCTGATTTTATGATTGTACTCATTATTGGATCGAATTAAAGCTGTCAAATCTTGATCGATAAAAATCGAACTCACACCAATTTTTTTTATCGATTTTAAACGATTTCCCATAAAAATCGATACAAATCAGCTGATTTCTATCGATTTTTATCGATATCGATTTTTATCGATTGACTACTCCGGGAATAAAATATCTGATAAATGCCCGATTATAGGCAATTGATAAATATCAAATAAATATCGAATGATATACAACACTGTGCTTCTATAATAAAATTTGATATAAATATTCGATTCTAGATAAATATCAAATAAATAATAAAAATGTAGGAATCCACTTTCGAAAATCAGTATCACTTCGGGTTCAACTCTACTAAAATACCAAACCATTAAACATATTCAATAGTACTATTATGACAATCAAGGAAACCATAAGGGGTGTGTAAAATTAAGAAGCAGTCGTGCGAAGGACAGAGTCACCACAGTGTTGATCACTCAGGCATCTGTCAAAAATTATGACGCTAAAATAATAAACAGAAATTTAACTTACACTATACGGAATAACGTGGAAGTCATGGGGAACCATTTAAGCAATTTGTATGCTAAAAAAACAGCAACTGGGATCGCCAAGAGTATTATCATTTCATTTTTCAGTCGACAGGCCACAAGTCACACCTCAGCAATACAAAAATAAAGGGCGACATCTTTCTCTTGATGATAGATACCGCTGATAGTTGATAGTAAGGGCTCAGGTGGTCATGTGCGCGCATGCGCAGGCCAAGAAGAGGAACCAACATGGCTGAGGAAAACCTGACAAATATTAATACTGGAGATAGCCAGTTAGACCAAAAAATACAAGAATGGATGGCTCTAGACAAGGTATGTATAACACCTTCTGTAGCTCACTGAATAGTACGAATCAGTTTTTGTTAAGTATTCTAGTAAGAACTTACTTTGCCTTACCACCTACTACGACCTACTACGACCATAAAAGAATTTTTTGCGTCTTGGATTCCAGTAGACGTTAAAGAAAAGTTTTTGAATAGATATACAAGAACAGATTTTGTAGAAACGTTATTAGTATTTGATAACAGAAACTGACTTGTCGACGACTCGTTTATCAGTGATCTATGTGCACGAGAGAGCAATCTAAGGGGAGGGCCCGACGTCTACTACTTTGCAAATCCTGTGATTAATAGATACAAAATTGATGACATAAAAAGGGATGTAGTTTTATAGCTTACGTTCCTTTGTTGATTTTATCAACACCCATTGCAAAACTGTGCAGCTTAGTTTGCTTTGTTAAGTAACAATGCAGATAAGAACGATAGCACTCAACGGCATGGAATGTAGAAAGGTGATAATTGTAGTATTGTTTAAACCAATCTTCTTATTGGTCGAAACACGGAAAATGGAGGAGAAGTATATTTTTTGTAATATTTAACTACTGACAAACTCCCTTTTAGTGATAAATCTTCTGTGCTTCAATACGACAAAAATTCTATGTGAGGAAAATGACAAATTTGAGGCTTTTTCTTTCTATTGTTTTTGGGTGTTGTGATTGGTTGAAAACCTCAGACTCAAAAGTAAACGTCTTAAGAAGCGACTTTTAGTTCATATTTTTTCACAAACATCTCTCCATAGGTTGATACATCCCCAGTAGAAAATCTCAAAATTCTGATGTTGGGCATGCGATATGCCGCAGAACAATAGAAAGCGCTATCGTTCTTATTAGGAGCATTGCTTAAGATGTATTTTACAATTGCACAAATGCAGGCTAGTGAAGCATTCTACAATAATACAAGGATATTTTTGTCAACAAGACAAAGAAATCCATTGTTTTGTTATATTTCATCCTTCCAGTGCTGACATAAAGTTTCATAAAGTTGAACAAAAAATTCCAACAAAAATCTATGTTTGCTTAAGAATGGATTGACATAAGTTAGATTAATTTATCTTATAGAGAACATAGAGTCCTGTGCAAAATTTGAGGTTTTGCAGTTTAGCAGTTTTGCAGTTCAAATGTATGTTTCTTCCATAATTCATGAATATATTTTTTATATTATTTATCATTATTTATTTCTTGATTTGCATATAATTATGTTTAAGCTTTATGCAAAACTAATTATTCGGGGCTTYTTTTATTTTATATATTTTTAGTATTTTTTATATTTATATGTAGCTAATTTGTAAAATTAGCTCAATAAAATGTAGATGTAGATATAGATTATTCAGTGGTTTTTGAGCTCATGCATAAAATAACAGATATTTGTATAGAAAATTGCATGATCTCGAGAGCCTTTGGGCGGTCCAATTTGAGAATTTTCGACACATCACGAGTATCTATAAATTCTGAATTGTATGAGAACATTGTGCGATTTTTTGTTTATAATACACTCTGCAAAATTGAGCAACTTTATTAGGACTCTACACAGTACAAATTGGGAAATAATTGGCATACTCCTCTTGTCCAATCAGAATCTAGTAATTTTGTTGAGTGTATTATAAGTCAATGATATTAATTTCGTCAAACCCAAAGAAGATTTCAATCCTACTATATATATAGGTATGGAGGTTTTCTGGAGCTCCTATGTTACTACCAATTCTCTTTTTWTCCCTAGCATCCCAAGACCCTAGAGGAAGTGAGAAACTTGATAAAAGAAAAGAATTTTGATGAACTCAAAGTCAGAATGTTATCGAATTTGTCGTTTGGCACTGCAGGTAATGTAGATTATTACAATAGATATCCCATTTGATTTCAGAATGATTTTGATGTTCAATCTAGGTCAGTCCAGGAATGTTTTAAATATCCCTGGGTGTTTATTATATCAAATCCACAATGATGCCAAAGGCAGATTTCTTTATTTGATTTCTTTTTTTGACAACAATGAGATATCATTAAATATATATTGGATAATTTTTAGGTCTAAAAAGTTAAAATATATAAATATGACTGATAATTAAAAACCTTATGTATTTGACATGTCTTGCATCAAAGTAAGACATAATTAAAATATTTTTAGGCATGTGATAGGGGAACAGCAAAATAGATTGAGAAGGGTGTTTAGGCAAAATGTCACCTGCCTTCAATCCGTTGTCCACTGCAATTTCATCTGAGAGTATGCCACTGAAAGTGAAACAAGCCTTCATGTCACAGTGCAGTTGTTTCACCAGGTTGACAAAAGTAAGCAGGCAACCAATCTTGCCTAGAATCATCCACAAGGCATCTTGATTAACGGCGTCTAAAGCCTTAATCAAATCTACAAAGACCTGGTATAATGCTATTTGCTGTCCAATGCATTTTTCTTTTCCAAAATCATGTCCATAGTACCTCTGCCTGATCTGAAACCACTCTGTGCAAAGGGCAGATATTATTCATCAACCTGTTCAGCAAGAGCCTCGCAAGAGCTTTACAAGGACTTCAATTGAGATATTATTCCACCAAGCATTTCTCATCTACATATACATGCATACATACATATACAGCATATGCAAAAACTTTGACCTTATATTATGTACTTATTGACTGAGTGGGAGGGCCATACAGGAAAATATTTGGCTCGAGGTGATGCCAGATGGCTCGCTGCACACGGTCCGCCACATGACCCTGCTCATGCCATTTTCCCGAAGGTGTTAATAATAATAATAATAATAACAACTTTATTAGACAGGGTAACACCGTTACCATAAATGATAATTTTCAGGTGGCCCTCGCCGCCAGGTGTTTTTTAAGAGCGAGCGCCTGGGCAGATACGGGTCATATGATAATTAATACAAGTATTTCAAAAGCATATGAGAAATTATGGGATATCGTCCCTAATATTTTTTTTACAATTTCTGAGGTGCTTTTGATATACTTATATAAATAAACGAAAAGGTCAAAGTCTTAGCATATTTCTGTATATGTATGCATATAATAATATATTTATATAGTATAAAATAAATATTATAATGTGGCATAATCCAGAGGTAAAAAATACTACAGATAAAGTTTTTCTTTCTATAATAAAACTACAATTAAAACAGCTTTTTCCTGTGGTCTATTCTGTAATAAAGCACTTCAGTTGCCCCAAAAGCACTGACAAGAAGTGTGAGAAGCACTCACCCATGGTTTGTGCCTCTCTTAACACTTTCTCATGCTTATGTCACTTCCTAAGTGCTTTATTTATATTTTTATCATAAGCATAAAATAAAATTTTAACAGAACCAACTGAAGTTAGGATTATTGAATTAATATTTCTTTTTTGTTGTTGGTAGGATTAAGGTCATCTATGGGTGCAGGGTTTTCAAAGTTTAATGACCTTACAGTAATACAAGCCACTCAGGTACATTTCAGGATCAGAGAAATACCCTAATTGCAAATTGCTCCTACAGTAGGCGGGCTATATGTTTTAAGATTGCATGCTCTAGTAACCATTTGAGATACTGTATTCCATTATTCCCTTTACAAAGTTATTCTTGTAATGGAATGGTGAAAAGCCTATTCTTGTCTTTCACTGGCATCATCAAAGATGTTCTCAAGACTTAAATATAACAAAACTTTCATAGGCCGAAAGAGCAATCAAAACTATATATCTCAGCCCAAGTTCTCATGAAACTGAGTTTTGGACACGAAGATATGAGCGATTGATTATCAGGGTTCGTGCTACTCCTTAAACTCCTTGAAAACTCCTTGAATTTAATTCACGTTTTCAAGGGCACTTGAAAAGCTCTTGAATTTTATGATTTTAGGGAAACTCCTTGAAAACTCCTTGAATTTTTGCTTTGATCATTACTTGCATGGTTCTGAAATAGATCTAGTCAGAAAGACTGGAGAATCTGAAAGTCAGCCATGTGCAACCACCGTGTAAAACCTTGGCATATTTAGCTGAACATACTCCTTGAAATTTCATTTTTGGGTCCTTGTATACTCCTTGAATATTCCTTGAATTTTAAGTGGTTACCTCAGCATGAACCCTGGTTATGCTCATAATCAAAAAATAATAATGCTCATAATTTAGTTAAAATGTATGTATTTTTTGTTATTTGTACTCAGTGATATTGATATTTAATTTTAATTCATTTTATTTCCTAGGGAATTGCAAAGTATATTTTAAAAACATTCTCGGATGCAAAAGAACGTGGTGTCGTAATTGGATTTGATGCAAGACATAACAGTGAAAGGTAATTTAGTACAAAATAAAAAATAAATGGTAAGTGGTTAGGATTAGAAATCGCAATGAATATTGACCATTAATAGTATTAATTTTGCTGGTGTATAATAATAAATTGATAGATCAATTTACGACAAGTGATGTACAGCCCCACCCCCAATCAATCACTTTGGTAATGCATAGTAACCGAAACTGTTCTCGTACTTCCACCCGTTTCCGACATCGCATTAACGTCATCAACATGGACCTCACAAATAAACGGACTGACCTTACTCACTTGCAACATGGCTTAACTCCATCGTAAAGAACAGTGAAATGAGCATGGACATCTGCTGCTTAATAAGACTAGACCACACCTCGAACTCAGGTGGTGAGGTCTGTGCTCTTACGTATGCTCTTCTTTGAAAGTCAAGAACTTCGAGATGTTACCACATCATCGGGCTATGAATTTCAACAGCTATGGCTCAATGACAACACAAGAAATTGAAATCTTTACTGGTTTGTGTCATATACAGCCTTCCTTGTTGTGCAGTCACCTGTTTCCAAGCCCTAGTATGCACCGGAAGGGCGTCATTATTGCTAGTGATTTAAACTGTAACCTGCTATCCAAAAGCATTGAATCTCGTGCGCTTATAGATTTGTAAACCTCATTAAACATCTCTCAACTCATCTCCATGCTCACCCGAGTTACTGAGACGACTGAAACTCTGATCGACGTAATGCTGACACTGATCAAATGCAGATTTAATTCGTAAAAGTGACGTACTGGAAATAACTCTTAGCGACTATTATCTCATTCACTGTACACTGAAGTTGAAACTACCTAAAACAAAGCCAATAGAGATAACTAAAAGAAGCTATAAAAACTTTAACACGGTTTATTTTTACATATGATCGCTCTAGATAGAAAACAAAATAATTTCTCAGATAAGAGGAAGGAAGGTTAGTTATATTGGTAGTACTGATCCAGTGTACTCTACATATATATATATTACAAACGTTTTTGGTTTGAATAACTTCATATCTCCTTCATACCTCACTAGATCTAATGCTATTCTTCTTGAGCCGAATGCTTGATACGACGTGGGGGGAAACCGTAAAATTTGCACTTTTTACTTTGTATGCGAAGAAATCATTTGAACCAGTGATTTTGGAGTCTCAAGATTACTTTCGAAAAAAATTTGAACCCTTCGGCTTTCGAGTGATTTTGTTTCAAGCAATGTAACAGTTGATTTGAATGATTATTGCTTCAGGCTTTCTCAGAGAGCAGCAGCTGTGTTTCTCAGTCAAGGTATCAAGGTCTATCTCTTCAATAAAATAACACCAACACCTTTTGTGGTAAGCGAGCTTTCTTTATCCATTACTTTCTCTATCACTCCTGTTTCTCACTTCGATTTATTTTTTCTTTACTTTTTTTACTCTCATATTCTCTAACCTTTGCTCTTCTTCTATTCTTCTATCTTTTATTCAATTTTAAAGTCCTTTTATACTGTCTTTTTCCAATCTCTTTCTTTTTCTATTTTCGTCTTTTCTTTTTATTTGTTTTCGTTATTTATATTCCTCACCTCACAATCACCGCCTTTTTCCTTTTACATTTACTTTCTTTCTGCGTTTCTTTTCTCCACTCAGAGACAGTTTATGATGTTTATCTAACTTTTTGCCATTCCCAGCCTTTTGGTGTTACGTATTACCGAGCTGCATGCGGTGTGATGATAACAGCTTCTCATAACCCAAAAGATGACAATGGTTATAAGGTATCAAATAAAGTCAAGTAATTTTAGCAAAACCATATATTCAACATCAGTATCTCTATTGAGTAGTGTCGCGATTCTCCTGTAAGTTTGATCGCGAGGACCCGCCAAAATAAACCCGTATTGTCGGCTCAGAATTACCGATCGTGATTGGCTCATAGCATTTGATTGACTGCAAAAATAGCACTTTTTTGGATTCACTTGACTCTTTTGAATTAAAGGGGTTCACTTTGGAATGTCAAAATCTCTGACAAAAAAGTTAATTTTCTACTCTTTTTTAATTTTTATGACACAAATTATTTACTGACGATGTGTCACAAAGATAAGGGAAATTACAAGCTCTATTTCTTTAACTTTCTGCTTTAAGTGAGTGAAAAAATATCGTACAAAATTTTGATTTTTAAAAGAACTGCTTGAATTACACAAAATTAGACGGAATCAGTTATCCTTTTATTTAAGATTTATCTTACCAAGTAGAATTTACTGTAATCCCAGGATTCTTTTAATACAATCATAATAAGTTTTTTAGAAAAAAATAAGCTTACTTGTTGCTTGTTACTTGAGCATAAAAGCTCAAAATTTCGAATGCGTTAAGATTTTTTAAAATGACGTGTAAAAAGAAGGAAAAAAATACCCGGCTGTAAACAGTTCAAGAAAAAAAAAACTGTTCTAAACTGGTCCTAAACATTTTTTATGACAGTGAAATGTTGATGAAAAGAAAGTTTTCAAAAACGCCCATCGTCAATTTTCTCAAAATTTCCAGAAACCGTTACTAGGACTGTTAGGTAGTGAGAATCTCAAGCTAATCTGGGTTGCTTTCCTCGCTTTTTCCTTTATTTTTTAATTGAAAATTAGGAGAATCGCGATACAAAACTCATTGCGATTTTGAGCCGCCAATACAGGTTTATATTGGCGGCGTTGGTAGAAAATATATTCCGTATTGACCGTAGTCGCGAAGAGACTACAACCAATGAATATATTTTCTACCAACTAGCCGCGAATATAAACCCGTATTTATGGCTCAAATTCGCAATAAGTTAAAGATTGTTTTTCAGAATTACTTTGCCCTCTTTTGGTGATTCTATTTGTAACAAATTCTAAAATGTGTGATTGTTTGTAACATTTTTATCTGAGGTTATCTTGCTGACTGTTTCAGGTTTATAATGAAAATGGTGCACAGGTAAGATTGTATGGGTGGTTACGCGCGCTCTGATTGGCTAAAAAGCCATGTTTTATTTCAGTATAGAAACATAGATATGGCATCAAAACCATTTTTCTATACAAAATTAAGCATAGAATAGACGTCACAGTAAAGCTACGGATACGCTATGCCCAACAAATTTGAATCGGGGTGACACACGTTGCAGCAAAATCTGCTATGTTAAGATATTTGATCAGCGGTTATAAATTTAGTGCAAGCTGATTGGTTCAAAGTTTCAAATTGTTGCACGGAATGTTGCAGCCCTGTTCACACGACGAAATTTGTTGCGCGCAATGTTGCAAGAGTAGAGCGCGATTCAACTTCAGCAATGTTGCTTGCAACAAGTTTCAGGGATAGACACATGCTGCAACAGTTATGTTTTGTGCAATGTTGCGGTCCGGCATTGCTGCATTATGCGTCTTAAGCTTAAATGTTTTATTAGTTTGTGCAGCGACTATTATAATTAGTTTAAGGTGGCTCCATAGGGTTTTATCCGCGCGCTACCCTGCAACTTCAAATCGCAAATACGCGGACGCAAACAATCCAATGCTAAAATGTTTTTTATAGGTTTTAAGATAAAGATGATATTTTCGAATGAGCATGTTTTTACTGAAATCGGAATTAATATAAGATTGCTGTTAAGCGTTGGTGCGTTTACTTTATTGCCTACTTTCTCCATTTTTTACTAATTATCGCTTTAAACCTCAAACATGAGACCTAAAAATCGCCGTTTTCTTCAAAATGGTTAAAAACATATTTTCTTCAAATTCCTTACGTCAATAGACGAGAGTTTTATCGAGATGGTCTTGAAGGAAGGAAAAAAACAACAAATAAAACCAAACAAATCATGTTTAGTGTTGATGCAGTCAGCGGTTACACCGTCATAATGCCAGTCAATAATCAAAACATACATATTTAGATCAGCTCATGTGAGGTTTGACGTTTGACCCCAAGTCGATCTACAGTCGCTCTTCCCGACTGACCTAGTCGTGAAGATCGACTTCGTCGTTCCAAATTCAATCAGTCGAACTTAATTGGGTCAAACGTCGAACTTCACATGAACTTATTTCTTAGCGAAATTCGCAAAGCCATGAACAAACGCTACAAACTTTTAAAACTTTGTGATGGTACTCCGGCAACCAATAAATATTGGCAAGAATACAAACTGGCTCGTAATAAAGTTACAACTTTATTAAGATATGCAGAAACTCAATACTGGAAGGAAAAGTTTACAAAAGCCAATAATTCAAGTACATTCTGGAAATCAGTAAACAGCATAACCGGTAAACGAAAGTCCTCCAGAGTTGGTCCTGTTAAGGACGACAATGGCACAGAGATTTTGGATGATGAGAAGAAAGCCAACTTATTTAATCAATATTTTGTAAATGCTGGTAGAGAAATTGCTGAAAGCTTTCCAGATATCACAGAGTTGCCGCAAGCACAACACATCTACAGAGTTACAGCACCCACCTGCTCTTTATTGGAACTGGAAATTGGCAATGTTATTAAAAGTCTTAAGAAAATCAAGGCTAATAAAGCAGCTGGTCTCGATGGGATATCAAGTGCTATAATCTCATTATCTGGTCCTGGAATTATCAATGGCTTGGTGAATGTTTTTAAAAGTAGTTTCGAAACAAGAATTGTCCCTTACACATGGAAGAGAGCAAAAGTTACTCCCATCTTTAAGAAAGGAACTAGAACAGACATTGCTAATTATAGACCTATTTCCTTATTGTGTATCCCTAGCAAACTACTAGAACATCAAGTTTGCTATATAATTGATGAGTTCTTAAATGAGTCCTCTCTGAAAAGTCCATCACAGTGGGGCTTTACAAGAGGTTTATCTGCAGAAGGTATGTTGTTAACGATGACAGATAGATGGAAAATGGATTTGGATAAAGGAATGTTAGTTGGAGCCATATTCGTGGATTTTAGGAAGGCTTTCGATAGTATTTCACATAATATTCTATCACTCAAGCTTCAGGCTGTGGGATTAATTGGTAATCTTCATGAATGGCTGATGCATTATTTGAAAGATAGATATCAGTGTACAGTTATAAATGGCTGTACTTCTGATTTGGAAACAGTCCAATATGGAGTTCCCCAAGGATCACTCCTTGGTCCAAGATTATATACCATCTACGTCAACGACCTACCTGATGCTATTACACTTGGGAACGTCTATATGTATGCAGATGATACTACTATATACTGCGTGGGGAAGACCTTTGACCAAGTCTGTTTGCAATTAAACAAAATACTTGAACAATTACAACTCTGGAGTATAAATAACAGACTTAGTATCCATCCTATCAAGTCTGAAGTCATGATCCTCAGCAAAACTCACTTCACTGGCCCAGCTCCACCAATTTATCTTGGAAATAAATATATCRATATTGTGGATCATACTACTTGTTTGGGCTTAGTGATTGATAATAGACTGACATGGTCAATGCATGTAGACCATGTGAAGAAAWCTTTCACACAGAAGGTTGGGGCATTGAGAAGAATGAAGAAGCTTCCTGTAAAAGTATTAGAAGAGATCTATTTTAAAACCATTATTCCAGCAGTAACCTATGGTATAGTGGTGTGGGGTAATTGCAGTTCTGCAGTTATGGAGACCTTAGATCCCATTCATGCAAGAGCAGCACGAATCATTCATCACCAAGAAAACCTTCAAAAACTAAACTGGTTACCAATCTCTTACATCTACAAAAGA